GTTCTCCTTACTTGCAAATCAACGGACGCGCTAACACGTCTCAACAACAGCAAAGCGCCAGGGCTACCGCTAGCTCAAAAGCTACCCATGCCCCTCCTGTATCGCCAGTGTGGGAAGACGCGGATGAGTCCATCTCCACTGCTAAAATACACAAGCTTCTTCAGAAACTATCAGAAGAACAAGCCAAACACTTTCCAGACATCCGCAAGGACGTCTCAGAAACAAGAGCTGTCGAGGCGATTGAGGGTAAGCTAGCCGACATGCTAACCAGGATAACTAGCGCGGAGGCTCGTCTAGATATGCTACAGGAGGTGGAGAGGCAGCGCTGCGACTCGCCTCCGCCTTCGGCTTCTGAGGTTGAAAAACCGAACGCCAAACTGAGTACTATTTATGGTTTCCCGGAACGTGTTGAAGATAAAGATGCCACATCGTCTTTGAGGGCTACTCTCCCCGAAATCCTTCAGGCTGACTTCCAAAAGGGGCCTAGATTTGGAGTGTGCTCATCGGTCGCTTCTACCAGCTAAGCCCGGAGCCCCCCCAAGGCCCTTCATCGTGTGGTTCTTGAGGTTTCAACAGAAGGAGCAGTTGAGACAACTTGCTAGAGAAATCGGGGACGTCTGCTGGCAGAACCATAAGATAAGCTTCTATCAAGATTTCTCCAAGACCACGCAGGAGCGACAACCCTCCTTTCTGGAGTATAAACGTCTGCTTCACTAAGCCAAGATAGCGTTTGGCATCGGCTATCCTGCTGTGCTCTTATTCACAACGCCAAGCGGGATAAAGCATCGTTTTGAAGATCCTAAGAAGGCTTTGAAATGCATCAAACATTTGATTGTTCCCAGCCTTGCACAGTGATGAGACACCCCCCCCACCCAATTTTTGCACCTTGCAGAGTGACTTGGGTAAGACAATGTAATCTATGTTTTGATCTCCATCTCCCCCTCTGAGAGACATTTAGATTAACGTTTCGGGTTTATAACAGTGGAAGTTGGAGATGTTTTCCTTTTTTTTTTTGCCCAGTCTTTGCACCACTACCTGTAACCTACCTCATAGCATAGGTCTACCACTTTATCCTTATGACTGTAACTGTCCTTATTGTTGTTTTTATAGGTGCACTCTTTATTACAATCTGTAGACTATGGGTGCATCATTAACAGGTAGGTTATTTTATATATTATCATTTCTGCCCAGGTTGCAGGTCATGTATGTGTGGGGTGGGGGGCGTCTCCGGAGGTGCCGTGGACTGCTAAAGGTGTACCACACTGTTATAAAGCCGATGTTTTAATATTGAAGAAAATGCTCACACTGCTGCTGTTTCGCTTTTTGATAATTGGTGGGGTCGCTGCCACACTCTCGCTCGCCAGAAACTCTTAGTTCCATGAGTTAGTTATCCAGCTGTGGATTTATCAGGAAGGTTTGACAGTACTCTGCTTTCCTTTGTCCTTTTTGGTGTTTTTGATGTTTTTTGTCTTCTCTTGTTTTGGGGTGTTTTTCTTTTATGGAGCCAGACTTCTCTCTTCCTGCTGTGCGGACAACTAAATTTTTTATTAAACTATTTTTTCCAGCATATGACAGCTCTCAATCTCATTTCAGTCAACGCTAGGGGTCTTAAAATTCCACAATGCACCAGCTTCCACACACAGATTACACTCAAGCCCTGCCAGGATCCCTATACTCAATATGTTAATCACTGCCAGCTCAAACACTGCTGCTTGGTCAGTGGCCGTCCGCTTAAAAATATGACGCGATATGTAATGTGAGAGTCCAGAATCATTGCCCTTGATTGATCCTTCTCTGTCACCACCACCACCAAAGAACCAAGCTGCTCTTCCCTCGTCAAAGAGTCACCTTCCTTAACTAGACACACTGTAATCAATGAATGATGGATTTATTGTACACCACCACTCTGTATTGACAGTATGAAAACAGAATAAAAGTGAAATTTAAAAAAATAATATAACACAATGAGTATCCGTAGTCTCATTAACATGAATTTCCATCATGTATTACATGCTACATGAATCTTATCTATTAGTTAGGTTTGTGGGCAATACAGTATAATACACAAAAGCAAAAACCTAACCTATTTTTATAAGAACTGTACTTACAGTAGTGATGGCAGTGCGACACTGAAGCTTTGATACGTGCTTCAAACCCTGAACTACAATTCCATAGAACCACTGCTTCAAAGCTTGCTTTGGTGCGAAAAAAATCACGTGACATATGACGTCCGAAGCAGCAACTGCTTCATTGCCTGAATGAATCAGCTGACTGGTTCGCGTCCCAATCAGGTGATTCACTGGCACTGCCTCGTCTCAATTCTGACAGGTTGAGACAGTTTTGAATTTGAGTGCCTTTAACACTTTATAACCGCAAATGTGGAGAAATAGTGAGCAAAAAAAGGAACCGGCTCAACCCAAAAACTGTTGAAAAAAAAAATAATGTACCTTAATAAAAACCTTTGACTGTTCCCCATCCCCTCCTGTCATAGTTACACAAGCACACCCATATTTCCCAGCATTCTCTCCTCAATAACACAATACACACATTCATCAATCTTTATTTGTAAATAGAACATGATATAGATAAGATTTTTCAAAGCAAAGATACTTAAATCCAAGGCTGATCTTGGTGAGTGAGTGAGTTTTCGAAACATTTGGTTCAGTGCTTCACAAAAGCTTGATTTGCCCATCACTAACTTATAGACAATGACTTTATAAGAGATCCCAAAAGAAGATGGATGTAGATGTTTTCATAAGCCTACCCAATTCCTCAATGTACTCTCTCAGCGCATAATAAAACAAAATGGCTACTACAGGTTGCAGAGGGCAAGCAATGGGGCCGATATTATGCAAAACAGAAAGGCACCACCTAGTGGCTCCAAAAGGAACTGAAGCTTCTTCCTCAGGTCAGAAGACATGTTCAAGGACAGAGCCAGCCTTGGAAGAAGCCATTGCATTGTGAGAGCAGAAATGCAGATTTACTCGGATATGTGCTCATCATGTGCCATGATGCACTCAGCAGAAACAGTGCCAAGTTATTTTATGGGCACTGACAGTCACTGATAATCAGTGTTGAACGTGATCATATATTTGGTGACCTGAACATATAGGCCATGTTTGGATCTAGAGAACATAAGCGACGCTCCAGTGAGAGATAGCAACGCTCACACACTGTGTATCACGGCACCCAGCATGCTGGCACAGCAGCATAGGAAGGCAAGGAAAAAAAGGAGAAACCTCGAGCATAGCCTGGCTCTAGGTGGACGAGTCGACTGTTTGGTGTTAGAGAGAGAGAGCGGGAGAGAGGGGTAGAAGGGAAAAGGTGGGGCACAGAGACAGACTGTTAGCAGTCACAGTCATGTTTCACACATTAATAAAAACAATGTGATGCTGAACTCAAATTATACGATAGCCTAACTTAATAGGACATCTTCAACTTTACTATAGTTCTGCTTTCTGTGGCTGCAAATAAAGCCCGCATGGAAGTAACAAAAACTACAGCCACTTGACGCTGGCCGTAGAAGTGAGTCAATCTCCATAAGGTCTCCCGGTCTCGATGGCTAATTTCCCTGTTCATGACGAC